GGGCAGGGTCCCTTCCAGACGGGCGCAGAGCCCTGCTGGCCCCTCTGCTCACTGTATGGCACGCCGCCGTGCCTTCGCGGGCTCCGAGCTCCAGCCGAGCTCCAGCCTCGCTTGCAGCCGTTACTCTGCCCTCTGGCCCCAGGGTCCATCTACCTGAGCGGCGCTGCTACCTGAGCGGCGCTGCACGGTGGCTGCCCCAGATCCTGCAGACCATCCACAGGCCTCCCCTGACAAACCTTCACCGGAGGCGGAGGGGCCACTCCTACACCCCCACTTCAGCTGTGTGTCTGGTGAGTGTGCCTGGCTGGACACACTGTGGGTCATGGCCCTGCTAACTTTTTTCCTCCAAGTCTGGAAACAGCCCACGCCTGAGCACACGCTGACCTCCCAACCAGGAGCTACAGAGCCCAGAGTCTGCTCAGCCACGCAATCCTTTCACTGGTGGCCACCTGCCCCTTCCCCCTGCCGTGCCAGGCCCCCGCGCATGTCCTGTGCACGGTCCCTGTCAGGACCACTGCTCCAGTGCTGACTCCGCCAGAGCCCGGCCTCTGCTCCAGAGAGGAGGCAGCCCCACAGGGCTGTGCCGCAGATGAAGGCCTTCCTGTCTGCCTTCCACATCTCTGGGTGCACGGTGCTCGAGGCCATTCCTTTCCCCAGACATAGCCCCTGAACCTGTCGACCTCTGGCCTACCTCACTAAGAGCTATGGCTCCTACCTGCAACCTCAGAGGGCGGCTGTCCCATGCCTGCAAGGCCTTCCCTGGGCCTCAGCCTCCACAGAACCCGGGCTTCTCCACCCTCAAGACCAGGACCTGATCTCCCTCGTGAGGCCACCGTGGGACCTCAGTTGGTGTGGCTGTCACCACTGTCCTTGGTCAGCAGGCACTGACGGAGTGAACCCAGGGAGGACTGCAGGCCTCAGGGAGGACCGCTCTCGTCTTGCACACCTTCGCATACTAGACCTCTGGAAGCTTTCAGCGAATGCTTTTACATTTCAAGAGTCCCTGAAGATAGGCACCAAGCTTTGCTGTCCTCTTCAAATTCCCTTTACAAACAGATAAGTAGCTTCTATAGCACACCAGCCACAGCTACTCTCAGAGATAGAAAACCAAGAAGAGCCCTGCCCATGGGCTCTCCCCAGCAGGCCTCGAAAGAGAGAGAACAGGCAACAAGCAGGTCAGGAAATACCAAGTCCACGGGCCAGCTGACCTCAGGCACCTGCTGCCTCTGCCCCGTCCTCAGCTCTTTCTGTGAGGCTTGCTTCATGAACTCAAGAGACTCAACCAGTCGTAGCAACTTGATTTATATGTCAGAAGAAATTTCAAACGTGTTGATGTACAAATAAGGGCTTTAAGAAAAAAATCTTTTCATATAAATGATTCTTTTCTCAGACATGATAAACAAGAATCTATAGGTAATTATTTGGTGAAATGTTTACCACACTATGTACAACATATTTTATATGTGTGTGTACACATTTATTTATTTAGATTCTTCCTACACTAGCAGTGTGCTGCAATGTTGTTCCTAATGGATATTAAAAAAAAAAATTCTACGTGTAGATTGTCGGTGACTCACACCTGTAATCCTAGCTACTCCAAAGGCTAAGATCTGAGGATTGTGATTCAAAGCCAAGTCCCTGAGACTCTTATGTCCAATTAACCACCAAAAAGCTGGAAATGGAGTTGTGGCACAAGTAGCAGAGCACTATCCTTGAGCAAAACTAAAACTCAGGGACAGCATCCAGACCCTGAGTTCAAGCCCTAAGACTGGCACATGCACATGCGTGTGTGTGCGCGCGCGCGCACACACACACACAATTCTAGATGTAGCAATGAGCTAAAGCCAATAAATATATCAAGCTGCAATAGCGGAAGACTTGCCTTTAATGTCTCCACATCTGATATAAAACTTTAGGGAGTATCTTTGCCTATCTTTTTTTTTTCTTTTCTCAGATTAAAGGTGGACTTAGGTAGAATTAAAGTGGACTTAGGTAGAATTACATATTAAAAACCCAAACCACACCGCCCAGTTTAACAGCTTTGCACTTTAGACTGATCACCCAGAAAAGACCAGCTCACCTCTCCAGGGAGGCCGTCAGTGCTCACACACGGCCTGGTAGGAACTGAGCCTTGCTTCTCCGGCATCCCTCACGGGCATTCAGGTCTGAAAGTCAGGTCTACCCCCTGCAAACCATTTACCCTGCACACCGCCTAAGTCCAACCACCTGTCACTCCTCGTCGGACGGATACAGACCCACCACCTGTAGTGTGCTGAGGGCCTGGTCTCCTCCTGCAGTCTCAGCCTCACAAGGTTCACAGATACACACTACAGGCGAACTCCAGGATAGCTTCAAAGTGCTGAACACATCTGCTCTTAAGAGGGACTATATTCACGGCAGTCTCTGTGTTGGCCACACGGCTCTCGTGTCTTGGTCACGCCCCTTCCTGTGTGTCTTAGGGATGCATTTGGTTCATAGAGGTCCCTGCTTCCCTCGAGCTCTAGAAGCAACACTTGTCACACTGGACATGAACAAATCCACTGCTAGGCCGTTCTTGCCCTCCTGGCTGGCTTATCCTCCAGGCCACGTCTGCTGCTTCTAGAGCTCAAGCCTCTGGGCTAGGCTAGGACAGGACCTGGCAGGTGACAAGGGCTTCTCCGTAAGTGTCTATTCAGCGCATGACTGAGGGAAGCAGAGGACCACTATGAACCAAACGCAGCCCTAAGACACACAGGAAGGAAACCAGGACAGTCCTTCAACATGTAACTTCTTGGCTGAAAGGCTTTGTGCGGGCAGTAATTAAGCCGAGCGGCCTTCCCATGGCAACTTGTTGGGTTGACCAAGACATCAAACCACAAGAGAAAAGAAAAGGGCACCCAAACCCAACACTCGTACACATCTGAATAAATGTGAGTGTTTTTACCTTTGTACAAAAACCTTGTTGTAGTTTGTTAAGGAATGACATGGGAAAGGTCTGCCCCCTGTCTGGGGTTTTAGCCTCTGAGATGTAGTAACCGAGGAAAACCAAGCCCCCCAAAGTAGAGCCACAGTGTCAGAACAAGGGCAGCGCTCCCGTGGGGCCACCTCCCTTCCACCTTACAGGAGGAGAATCTCATAGACGCTGTTTCAAAGTATCCTACCTGCAATGGCTACCCTGCAATGTCCCAGTGAAGCTGGGCAGCCTTCTGCGCCTCTCCAAACCACCAGCTGCTCCTAGAACTGGGGCAGGGGCCTCTCTTGGGCCTGTGGTGGTACACCGGGCTGTCCCGGTAGTGCAAGTACTTGGTCTTCCTAATGTTTGAAGTTGTTGGGACAAAGTTAAAATCTTTCTGGAGCATCTTTACACTCAGCGCAGGCTAGCACACCCCCAAGGCACCAGTAATAACTGCGGATAACCCAAACCTCACCACCCAGAAAATGTGTCCCTTCCCAGGCCTCTGCTCCCAGCCCAGTGCCACCTTCTTCTCCCTCACTCTGGCACTGAGAGGCACACACAGCAACTTCAAATACCCTCACACCCCATCAGCTAGCAAAGGACAAAGGAAAATTTAGTTTTGCAAATAAGGGATGGGGGCGGGGGGGGGGGGGGGAGGGGGGGGTTCTAAGGAACCCCAGTTCTACCCAGGGCCTTAGATTCACTCCTTAGGTTTATTCCACTTCCACGGGGTGGGGGGGGGGCAACCCCCTGGTCTCCTCCTGTGGTCCCTCTTCAGCAGAAAGTCTCCAAGAATCCACACCTAGTGCAGCAGCAGGGGTCCAGGCAGAGACCAGCCTCTTCCACCTCTGCTCAGCACCCTTGGGTCCTGCATTCAACCGGGTGCCGCCCCGGGACCCTCGGGACCAGAGGTCAGCTGCCAGGCCCAGGGCGGAGGCCCGGCCGGCCACTCTGCGCCAAGACACACTCAGGTCCCCAGGTACCCGTGGCTGGCACGCAAGTGGCCGAGAGGCCACGAGGCCATGGGGCCGCTGGGGACCGGCGGGGCTGGAATCAGTATTGCAGACCAGGGCTGGGCCAGCGCGGAGCAGTCTCCATTGTCGGCGGGTGTACCCCAAAGGCTGGAGGATTGGGGGATCACGGGGAGGCTCCGGACCCAGGGTGCCGGGTGCCACGGGTGGCCGCTGGAGCGGGAAACCCCAGCAGCAGCCCAGAGGAGCGGCTGCCGGGGCGGGCGACGCCGACGCGCGGTCGGCCCGCCAGGCGCAGACAAAGGCTCGGTGCGCACGCGGTGGTCGGCGGCGCGGGCGCCGCGATCAGGGCCGCGAGGAGCCGCGCCCGGCCGGGCTGGCGCCCGAGTCCCCGGGTGCCCCACGGGCGCGGCGTCTCGGCCCGCAAGGCTACCACCTGGCCCCCTCCCGCCTCGGTCGGCTGCTCCTCACCCCGCTCCCCTTCCACGCCCAGCCGCGCGGGCTCCCGGCTCCCCGCGGGCTCTGCCTCCTCCGCCCCGCCGGGTCCCGCCCCTCCTCCGCGGCCTGTCCCGCCGCCCAGCCCGGCCCCGGCCCGGGGAGAGGCCGCGCCACCGCCGGCCCCGGGGCGCAGCCGGCCGCCCGCTCCTTCCACGTGGGCGCCCGCCGTCCCTCCCCTTTCTGCTCCAGCCCGGCGCCCGGGGACCCCCGGGAGGCGTCAGGCGGGTGCGGGTGGGCGCCCCGCGCGGGTCGGCGGGCGCCCGTTCCCACCCCGCCCTCCGGAGCGCGGCCGCGGCGGGGCTGCGGTGCCCCGGCTGGCCTTGCCCGGGCAGCCCGAACGCCCCGCTGGAAACAGGCGCCCGAGTCCAGCCCGCGGGCTCCGGAGGCCCCGGCGTGAGCGGCCACGAAGTTCAGGGCGCACAAGCAGACGTGTGCGCGGGAGCCCGGCCCCGGCCCCGATCCCGCGCCCGCCGCCCTTCCCGAGCGCTCCAGCCGGGCCGGGCGGCACCGAGCGCCGCCCGGGGAGCGGCCTCGGCGCCCAGCCCGACCCCGAGGCCCGGCCCCCCGCGGGGCGAGACCCCGCCCCGGCCGCTTACTGGGGCTCAGGAAGCACTCGGTCAGCCTTCGGAAGCAGCTCGCGTTGGTGGAGGGTCCATCGTCCATGTCGGAGCCGAAGAGCAGCGGCAGCGCGACGCCGGCGCCTCGGGGCCGCCGCGGAGTCCGGGCGCCGCCGCCGGCGGGGCCGGGCCAGCCCCGGAGGTCGGCGCGGCGCGCGGCCGGGCCGGGAGGAAGCCGCGGCGGCGGCGGCGGCGGCCGGGGCCCGGCGCGGGCTGGGAACAGCAAGCCCTGGAGCGCGGGCGAGAGGAGGAGCCGCCGCCGCCCGCCGCCGCTGCGGTGACTGCCGCCGGGGGTGACGCTCCGCGGAGCCGCCTCCCGCCCTCCGCCGCCGCCGCCGCTCAGCGGAGCCGCCTCCCGTCCTCCGCCGCCGCCAGCATCGCCGCCGCCCCCTCCCGCCGCCGCCGCGCCCGCCCTCCCCGGGAGCCGCGCGGGGCGGGGGGAGGCCGCGGAGGGGGGGAGGGGCGGGGGAGGGGGCCGGGGGGGCGGCGGCCAGAAGTAAAAGGAAAATGGAGCGGTGGCGGGGACGGGGGAGGAGAAGGCGAGCGCGCGCGGAGCGCCGGCCGCCACCCAGCCGCAGCCCCCGGCGCCGAGCGCGGAGAGGGCGCCCGGGACCCCCGCGGGGCCGGCGCGGCCCGCGGGCGAGGGGGCCGGGGGCGCGGCGCTCTCCGCCGGGCCGCCGCGGGGCCGCTCGGGGATCGGGCCCGGGCCCGCGCCGCAACCCTCGCCGGCCGCGCCGCTCCCGCCCGCTGCACTGCGCCGCGGCTCCAGGCAGAGTCGGCCGAAGCCCGGCTCGTCCCCGGCCGCCGGCCGCACCGCCCCGGGGCGGGGAGCGAGCGGCTCCCCTGGGCTGGCCATCGCCCTCCTCCCACGGCCGCCGAGGGGGGCCTGGGGCCCGGCTCCGCCCCTCAGGACCTGGCCTGCCCGCCGGCCGGAGCCCGGGTCCGGTCTTCCGCCCCCTCCTTCCGCCCCTCCCGGCTGGGTCTACACCTCGGGCTCCTCCGCCCGGGATGCGGGGTCACCGGGGTGCGGGGGCGAGTCCCCGGCGGCCGGTGCGCACGGTCGGCGTCGTCCCTGCCGGGCCGGGCGCGGGGCTGGGGAGACGCCGCCCGCCGCGTGGCGTGGTTCATGCGCGCTGGGGAGGCTGAGCCGGGCGACGCTCGAAGGCAGCGGGCAGAGCGCCGCAGTGCCACTGCCCGTGGAGGCGGCGGCGACAGCCGAAGACGCCCGCGGGCGGAGCAGGCGCTGCCCCCGCCACGCCGCGCGCCGCCGGACGTGGCCCCGCCGCGCCGGACTCTGGCACCGCACCGTCGCGGCGCGCGAGTGCACCCCGGCCTTCTGACCGGCAGGGATGGGTTGGGTGTCTGCTGGAGCACGTCGGGGCCTGGTGCTCCCGAGTCCAGTCCGCCGTCCTGCGGCTGCTCCAGCTGTGCGCTCGCGCACTGGCCACGGCGGCCGCTCCGGGCCTGTCCGCGCGCGCGGCTCCCGCCCGGGGCGCCCCCGCTGGCACGCTCCCGGGGACCAGCTCAGAGGTCGGACTTTGGGTACGGATTGTAGTCCAAGCACAGTGTGTTCAGTAAACTGAGGTCTGCAATACGGGGCGCCCCTCAAACTGCGTTTCCCCTACCCGTGTTATTCCGAACCTCCGTGCCCCACGGGGCTCGAACACAGAAAGCCGAGACCTTCCCTCTAAAGCTGGGACCCGCTCTCCCGGGGCGGTGGCTCACTGGCGGCCCACAGCGCAGACGGCACTGTGGACGGCCCTGAGGACGGACAGGCCCTGCGCGGCCCAGCGGCGGCTCACAACCAGACGCAGCTGAAGTTTGGGGAAGTTGGAGCGCAGAGGCGCGGGGAGCGGCCGCCGCGCCTGGGGCCGGGAGCGCGCGAGGGCGGGCAGGGTGTGGGGGTGCGCGGGGCCCGGGGGCGGGGCCCTGTGGCCCCGGGTGGGACGTGCGGTCCTGAGTCCCTTGGCTAAGCCACCTTTCCCGGAGGGCAGCACGCGGGCGCACACGGCTTGTACACCAGCTGGCTCCCGGGCCCAGCCGTGGGCCCGGCACTGGGCGCAACCCGCGTTTCGCGGGAACGCAGGACCGGACGCAGGGCTGGGGCTCTCCACCTGCGCCCCGCCCGCGGCCACGGCCCTCCTCAGGGTTTTCTCTCCCCCCCCCCCCCCGCTTTCCCGTGTGGGTGGCGAGGCGAGCTGCGCATTCTCCCGTCAGAACTTTCCCGGGCTCCACCCCCCCCCCCCCCCAAGCCCCGAGAGCAGAAGCCGGCACCGAGGTGTGTGCACCCTTGGGCGGGTGGGATTCCAGGAGTTCGTACCGCGGGCGGCGGCCGGCTCTGCGAGTCGCGCGTGCGGGACGCCCACTTCGGTCGGGTTCCTGCCTGTGCGGGGCAGCAAAGAATTCTGGCGACTCTTACCTGCGGGGCGCGGGGCGCGGGCCCCCGGCCTTTGCATTGCTTCCTTTCCGGGGAGGAGCCGGCGGCCCGCGCTCGCGGCTGCGCCCCGCGCTCCCCGCGCACCGCACCAGCCGGACCCGCCCGCCCCGGGACGGCTCGGGTTCAGGGAGGATCAGTTTCTCTCCGTGCAGAGCATCCTTTTCCTTTTTTGCTCGCAAACCGTTCGTTTTCAAGGTTTGCGGTTTGCGGACCGCACTCCTCGAGCGACCCGCGAGGCCCCACGTTACAGCAACGCGCGCGTGAACGAGACCGCAAACCGCCCGAGGGCGCGGGCAGCACACTAAACACTTGTTCGAGGAGTGTTCGTTAAGCCAGGACACACTCCACAGTTCTCGTTAACCCTTTTTGAGAATCTTCCTCCTGCTTTTCCCCCCTCGTCTCCGATTGCTCCTTGGAGGGGACAGATTTCCTGAGCCCTTTTTTAAAATCACCGGGCAGGGAACGGAAGACTCCGTTTGAGGAGGTGTTCACCGATAGCGTCGGCTAGGATCGGTGTCCTCAGTCCTGAGTGCTGACACACACTCGTGTCCAACAGTCTCCCAGACGCTTCGCCCACCGCGGCGGCTGGAGGCTGCTCGCTCTAGTCTCGCTCTGTAGTCGTGGCTCTGGTCACTCACCCGCGCCCTGGCGAGGCTGAGCCTGGAGAGTGGGTCTGTGGCTCTGCGGGGGGCGCACGGGGCTCGTCCCCGCGTGCGCACAGGCTTCCTTACGAGCGTGCACTGGCTCAGCCCAGTGCCCCGGGACCCTCCGCCGTCCACCGAGCTCAGCCGTGGCTGCGCGCCCGCGGGGGTCTGGGCGAGGGGTTTTCTCACTGTTGGCTGCCCGGGGCGCAAGGAATGAAAATCCAACAAACAAAAGAGTATTAAGAGAGCAGTCAGCACCGGTAAAGACTGAACACGGCGACACTCCTAGTTCCTCGTCCTTTGCCAGGGAAAATGGACACGTTGCGCTCAGGTCGGGGAGTCTTGCTTCCCCAGGGGACCCGGGCACTACGACGAGGAGCGCAGTGGCGTTCCCAGACCTTCCTCCATCTCGTGCCAGTTTTCAGTCAAACCAATTCGATCTTACTTTTAGAAGCTGATGCCTCAAATCTTCCTCTGCGCTGAAGCTAGCGCCTGGCAGCCGGGTACCCGAGTCGGTTGCATTCTCTTCAAAGTGCTTTGAAGCTTGAATCTAAGATATACTTAAATGATTTTCCTTTAAAAGTGTCGAAATTATTTATAACGTTTATTTTAAAATGTTATTTCTAATAAAGTAGGATGGCCACAGCTAAGGTGCCTGATACTTTACCAACTTTGGGGCAAACATAAGATATCTGTGTTATCTAACTTCGTTTTACAGTTGTTATGAGTAATGCTTACAGTTCTACAGTTTACACCACTGATTCTCGAAAACCCTGTTTTCTCTTTTTCCTATATTAACATATAAAAACCAAGATTAATAAATCTATTTTTAAAGCACTTTGGGAGGCTGGGAGGGAGACCCAGAACAAAGGGTGAAAAAGTGCAGCAGAGGAGCTCACTGGACACGGATGAAAGTGAACTAGGCAACGTGGGTGGAGACGTGAGGGAGGGACTGGGAGAGGGGGAGGGAACAGAAGACACCGTACCAAAGGAAGTGTGCTCATTACCTGACTCATGTAATTGAAATCCCTCTGTGCATCACCTTTATAGTAATAAATAAATAATTTCAAGAAAAGTGTAAAGCACTTCTTGATAAGCAATTAAATTTTGATTTTAGTTTTGGGGACTTACTCAAAATGCCCCAAAATAATTCATGAGCAAGTAGCTATTATTCCCAAATCAGACTTTTCCATTTTAATAGCTAATAAATTATCAGCACAGATGTGTCATGTACATAAACTCTCTGCATATGAAGAAGATCATTGGTTTGCTGTCAGTCTCATATGTCAAAATGGGAGTTTATCTTCCAGCAATGTCTTCCTGACCTCCCAAACCCAGCAACCCTTCCCTAGAAGTTATGTTTGTCTTAGGAAGAGGCTTCCTTGATTTGTCTCATTATCAATCCATCAGTGTCTTGTTGTCTAGATGCCTGAAGTTATGACTTTTGTCTGCACACACTAACCTGTTGCATTGAATCTCAAGGAAGTGAATGCCCACATGGTTTGCATGGATAATTCTGGTTTGATACCAGGGGCCTTAGCATCTTTAACATTTACTAAAGGTAAGCAGACAACAAGTACTCAATATCTGCTGTCCTACCTGTTACCACCTGCATAGCAAATGATTACAAATCTCAGTTACAGTTGATGTAAGAAATCTTGACTAAAGTGACAGGAGCTCATAGTTCTGCCTAAAAAGACAAAAAGAAGGTCATTACAATTCAGTGAGGGCGAAAAAAACATTATGAAAGTCAATACTTAAGTGGGACAGTCTTGAAAACATCTGAATTACTGCTACCATTTCTAGGGTTTCCAGGAAGTTACTTTCATGACTTCAAACAAATAGCATTAAGATTGATTATAATCAAGAAAGTAATAACCAATGTAAGCTATATTATTGTCCATTTCACAAACATAAAAATTCAAATGTTTTTGATAATATGAAGATGGTTAAAATATGAGCATTTCAGATAAAACGTGTGTGTCCCTGGCATTATGTGTGTTTGTTGATTCAATATGGTTTAAGTAGATGTTATCACTCATCAAAAGTAAAACATTTCATTCCCTTTTGAAAATAAACTCTGCCTATTAACTGTGAGTCACTGTCCCCGAGGACCTGAGTGCTACTGCTGTTGATGTCATAGTGTTATGACAGAACTACATTTCAGAGATCTGCCACTGAAGTACATCAGGTCACTCTAGAAACCTATTGACACTTACGTAGTTTTGACAGCATTTTCAGGGCTCAAAGCAGTATAGAAATCAGCACACAGCCAGGAATTCTGGTTAAATAATCAGCCCTTTTGTCAAACTTTTTACAGTTTATAATTTAAATAATGCAATTTGCAGCTGTGTTTTGAAAGTCTAATAAAAACAATGCGAGAGAATTATATCTCAAAGAATTAATAAAAATCATAATAATAAGCCAAAAAGAAAATACTACTCTCAGAGAACTGAAGTCCAGTTTAGTGTGTGTGAACAGGAAGGGAGCATGGAGACACACTGGGGATTTAGAGGACTGGCTGACCTCTACTGGAGCCAGGACTCATGCCTGAAATCCTAGCTGCTCAGGAAACAGAGATCTGGGGATCATGGTTCAAAGCCAGCCTGGCCAGGAAAGGCTGTGAGACTCTTATCTCCAATTAATCATCAAAAAGTCAGAGGTGGGCTGCAGCTCAAGTAGTAGAATGGCAGCCTTGAACAACAACAACAACAAAAAGCTAAGGAACTGTGTGCCCAGGCACTGATGGGTTCAAGCCCCAGTACTAGCACCAAA